AATTATGTTGTATGGATTTGATGATTAGAAATAATATGGGTTAATGGAAATAATGGAAGTTATATTGTATATTTATGGCAAAAATTTGACGTATATTGCTACATATATCTGTTGCAAGGAGGGTTGGAAGTAAATTCTTTTTTTTTCTTTTGTCTCTTTTCTTTTTTTCTGCACTCTTGATCTTTACTACCCTTTTTTCCAATCTCTCTTTTCTTCTTCTCATTCTTTTTCTTAATATTAGTTCTTGTTAGTTTTTACTGTTCTTTTTTTTTTTTAATTAATAAAGTTATATAAAAAAACTGTCAGCTTAGCATTCTCCAACCTGGTACCCTCCATACCAGATGTGTTAGGATTTCAATTTGCACTATTTCCCAGTGTGGTTGACCTCTTGCTGGCTAAGCCAAAAACAAACCACATTAGGTTTAGTGTGGTGTGTGTGTGTGTTCAATGGAAGCGGCAAGAAAGGACCTTCATTTTATCAAAGGGGAAAAAAAGAGTCAATGTGATTTAGTGGTTGGATTTGGATCAGGGATTCAAAGGTACCCATAGCCACAGAGGCACACTGGCTCATTCACTACCTTACAGTTGCTGGAAAAATAGAGAACTCTGTATGCCCCCTTGGGCTCCTGAATGAAACAAGTGGAATATAAATCACATAAATAAATAAGTAATTAACGAAAGACTATATTTCAGTGATGTAAACTATTTCAAGAACGATCTCTGACTTCCACGAACCCTTGGTACAGCTCTTCAACCTACAGACCCGCAACTGAAATAAGAGTATCAATATTCTGACTTGGTCTATGTTGGCTTGTCACGTTCCCAACATTAATCTGGTTTTCCAGAAACCTGCAGGGTAGGTATTGGGACTGTGTTCACACAACATGCATAACCTGCTCAGTTAAAAACTCAGCCAATGTATTTTCACATCACACTAAAGCTATTGGGTGGTGATCTTTGCAAAGTCTTCTTGCAGCCTAGTATCCGGTGCAAATCTACCCAGTTGGGTTAGTTTAGGTTTTCCATGTCTTATGCCCGCCCACCAAGAGGGGTTTAGTTCAGCAGCCCAGTTAACCCTGCTGTGCAAATGCAGTTTCTGAGTGATGACTGAATCGAGCACCCAAACAATTATGTTTACTAAATAACACGGGGATCCCCTCTCTGATAACCACCCATTTTGAGTCGTCCATGCTTTGAATTGCACGACCACCAGGTCTGAAAATATATAAGACGATGATGATGCTTCAATTACACGTCTCAAAAAAAAGTCCCGCAATCACTGAAAAGTCAGCTCTGCACGCATCTTAGTTTCTGTTTGGCGAAGGGAGATTGGAAGGGATGGGAAAAGGGGACCAGAATATCAAGCAAACGCAGGGGAGCCGACATCCACACGAGCACAAAAGCCTCCATTAGGTACAATGCCCGCCCCAAACAAACAGGCTACCTCTCCGGCGGGCCACTTCCTTCCTTCGCGTCCTCAACCTCCGAGGGGACCCAGTTCAACGGAGCCTCGAACTCGCCACGCCGCCAACTCTCCCGGGCGCCCAAGACTTCACCCAACTAAAGAGGAGAAGCCTTGCAACCCCCTGCCTCAGTCCTCGCAGAAAGATTTGGGAAGCGTAGTTCTCATCTGCATAGCTTTAACGCCTAGTCGCCCAAGGAAAACTACAACTCCCAGAAGGACGTTTCCTCTCAGCCAGTCCCATGACTCCTTCACGCCGCGTTAGCATAAAACTACCTTTCCCACAATGCTCTTCTGCAGCCATTTATTTATTTATTTTTGGGCCGGAATCATTGGCCGCGCTCGCTAAGTTGGTGCACGTTGACGCCGCAATAATTCCTTCTGACTTTAAATTAGCCATTGAGCACGGGGGAGGGGGGGTATATACTGCAATTATTCCCATTACCTGTTTTATTTGGGATTTACTTAAAAAAAAAACTGCACCTTTGTTTTAGTTATATTTAAAAGTAAACAGAATGCCCAGCTAGGTTGGCTTTGTCTCGTCTTGCAGCAGAGTGGGGTCTGGTTAGTGCCTGGGTGGGAGACCCTAGGGAATCCTAGGCCCTTAGACCACATTATGGAGTTGGGAAAAAAGTCTTAGAAAAAGCAATGATGAAGAATTGATTGCCAAGAAAACACATGGATGTTCCATCGGGAGTTAAGCTTTGTTTTATTTAAAGTGAATGGGAATTAAAGCTTAGTCTCTGATGTTTCCATGTACTTTTCTTGGCAAAAGTTAAAGGGAATGGAACACCTGGGGAGTAAGCAGTGACTTCAAATTGTAGGTGTCCCTTTGAGGATAAAAGTGGCCTTCTGAGGATGTGCTTGCCTACACAGAAGACACTTCCACAGAAGCAAAGTGAAGCCGCCCATCTTAATCCTTGTCGAGGGCACTAATTGAGCACTGTCACTATAACCAAACCTAACAATAAACCCTAAAATTAGGTCTACAGAAAAGAGAGGCTGACCCACTCCACTAAGCCATAACGTGATTTGCTTGATCTTTTCTTCGCATGGCTGTGGATCCAGAGTTTTTTGTTCCTAGACCAGGGTTTAAGGGCTTAGCACGTCATGCGTCCTCAGCCACAAAGCCCATTAAGCCCTAACCAAGACATCACAACTTCACCAACCACAACGACTGGGCTCACTTCATATGCTAAACCAAAGTGGAGAAACCCGTTTTATGACTTATGGGTAACCCAGATATCCATTTCAGGAACTTTCCTACAGTTCTGCCCATTAGACGCAGAAATGGACTCAATAGGATTGCTTTGTCTTAATCAGGATGATGGGGGATCCTTTGCGCTGCGCCCCATCCTGCGCATCCGGCCTTCCCCGGCGAGGGCCACGCGCCGAACTGCGATGCCCCCGCACGAGGCGCCCAGGAGCGCTCCGGAGAGGCTGCCTCCAGCGGGAGGCGCTCCAAAACTACGATTCCCAGCAGCCTCTGCCCTCCTTTCCTACCCAAAATCCCTCGCGG